GGCTTTCCTTATACGTGCATCAATCTCATCACTCACGCCACCACCAGCACTTATGTAGCTACCTAGATACACGAACTTCTCAACTACTTCAATCTGCTCACCATCCAGGGTGAGTACAGGATAAGAATCCTGCCAGTCTTGTAGGAGTACTTTGCACTTGGAGGGTGCAAAGCACATGCCGTACCTGAGGACACTGATTGCCAACTGATTAAGTAAGGATTGCATGCCTTGGGCATTATCGCACGGTAAGACAATATCATCCGCATACTCGAGGTTGAGAAGTCGTTCTCCAGGCAACATATCCACACCGCCATTACTTACATCCATCAGAGCTGTTTCCAGAATGTCATCCATAGCAAAGTTGAAGAGGAATGGTAAGATTGGGCAACCCTGCCTAACCCCACTGCTCGAATGGAACAAGGGAGAAAGGTGGTTGTATGCCCTCACTCTGCCTGAGGTATTCATATACAGGACCTTTAATATGTTGATAAACTTCTCAGGCACACCCTTCTTCAATAGACAATCCCAGAGAACAGTCCTGTCCAACAAATCGAAGGCAGCACTGATATCAAGAAACACTACGATTGTTGGCCTGCGATAAGTATGACGGTGTTCTAACATTTGGCGGAGGGTGAAGATGTGATCAATGCATCCTCGACCAGAACGAAAACCAGCCTGTTCCTCGCGAGTCAATCGTTCTCGGGTTTTAAACAACCTACGAAGAATGACAGAAGCCAATAGTTTGGACGCAATCGGAAGTAGACTTATCCCCCGATAGTTGTTACGGAAACAACGTGAACCCTTTTTAAAGATAGGGACAACTATCGACTCATTCCATGATGTTGGAACACTTTCTAGATCCCAAACCTTTTCAAACAACACAGTCGGTTCCTTAGCCAGAAAGTCACCACCATCTTTAAAAAGAGCCGGAGGTAAGTCATCTGGGCCAGGTGATTTGTAGCGTTTCAAGAGTTGGAGTTCCTTGTAGACTTCCGCTCCGTTGGGTGGATCAGTCGTCACCGGGAATGGGGGGCAGGACAAACTGGTCTATGTTGCCGGAGCAGCTGGCCAGTTGAACTGCCCTTCGAAAAACTCCGCCCATCGTCCAAGACGTCGAGAGATGTTAGTGATTGGCATCCCATCATCCTCGCATATTGTTTCACTCACACCAGACTTCTTGCTGCCAGTGGCTCGGATGAGTTGGAAGAGCTTCCGGCAGTTACCAGATACAGCTGCAGCTTTCATCTCATTAGCACGTTCCGACCACCAGGCTTCTCGGTCCTTACGCAAGCTTTGCCCGATTTCATTACGTAACAACCTTCGTTTGTGGTCAAACTCACGGTCACCCGGAGTAGACCGACGGGCTTCCATCAGTTGTAAGGAGCTAGAAGAAACCCAGTGCTTATAAGCGCGACGTTTCGCGAAGCCGCAAGGGCTTTACTCGCCATTTTCATGGCGTCGTGAAGAAGCAACTAATGCTCATCTATACTTTTCGGTGGGGTGGTAGCTAGCCTAGAGGCTAGCTCCGCTCGATACTTACTTGCAACAGAAGTTGCAGCCAGTTTACTAACATCAATCCGTTGATGGCGGTCAATCCTTCGGCCACTGAAAAGTAAGGTAAGATTGGTGCAGAACAGGGCATGATCAGACTCCAGATAGGTAATCCAAAAGGAGCGGCAGTCTTGTACACAACCACGTCAGCGGTAGCTGATCGCGGTGTGATCAATCTGAGTCCAGGCTTGAGATGCAGAGGAAGGACGCCAGGTGGCATACCGGCGATGACTGTGCCGGAAGTTAGTGCTAGCCAGAAACAGGTTGTGGTCTGTGCACAGTTGCAGCAAATGGTCCCCGTTATCTGTCCTGCGACCAACAAGTCCCCATCGGCCACCTAAACGACTATCTTCTGTGCCTAGACGCCCGACCTGTGCATTCAAGTCTCCGGCTAATACTACAATATCTAACGAACGCGCTTTCTGGAGAAGAACTGCTAACTGGTGGTAAAACTCATCCTTGATTGCATCTGGGTTGCAATCTGTCGGGTCATAGGCGGAGATGACGAAAAGACACCGTTTCTCACGCCGATTTCTTCTCACTTTGATGGAACTTTCTAATCTAACAGCACATAACCGACTGTTAATGGGGATCCAATCGATTAGTGTTGCTTCAGTTCTAGCGCTTAGTGCGACACCAAAGCCAGCAAGACCAGACGAGGATCACACAGGGTCCCCGGATAAGCGCACTTGAAACAAGCTTTTCGAGGCGACAGATGGAGAGCAAATTTGTAGTACTTTACTGGAGTCTTGAATACAGGTCTCGGATAGACAACAAACATTAACATTAGGACTTTCTAAAGACATGGCCAGCCCCATCTGTTGTCTGATCTGCATTAGTGTGCGAACGTTGAAGGAAGCCAGCTTGAACGGCGTACGTGGTTTCAGAAAGACTGCTTCAGTATTCGTAATCGGTGGACGCATTCACTTTTGACTAAACAGTGACTAGAGATCGTTTAGATAGAACAGAGTTTCCACCATGGGCGAGCTGCTGCATAAGTTGAAAAGCAAAGGTACACAAACTGGGAATAAAAGGGTATATAATAATAATAATGCAAATTGTCTTGCTTTTAGTATGAGTGAGAATAGAATTGTCAGAAGAATGCGTCATTTCATTTATTTGTGTGAGGGCTGTGATACTGCCCAGGTGCCCAAACTGAAGCAGGTGGTTTTCTTAGGGGGCCACACCCGGATCCTTTGACCGAAAGATCTGATCCACAAGGCAGTGGAGCATCGTGAGGAGATGCAGTCCCATGGTAGCCGGTGACCAACAGTTGGTTCATACGCCATTCGTTCCTTCAGGATACTGGAGCCCATGTGCACCATTGGTTTGGAATCAGGGTTTTCCAACTCCCCTAGGTGGATCCTCCACATCCACCAACCCGGTTAAAGCGCCGGACATTCGCTTTTCATCCTCTCACTTTTGTGAACAACACCCCCGCCACGAGAAGGCAGTGAGTAGGACTTCCCTGGCAGAGGCTATATATTCGCGTGGCCATATGAGAGCATTTCGAGAGGGATAGCAGACTCTCCCCACTCTCGGCCGTACCAGGGCATTTGGGGGCATATCACAGATATACATGCTTAATTTCTTATACAGAAATATGTCCTAATGTATGCAACCAAACATCTATCCTTCATTACTGAAGGATGAGAAGATAAACAAAAACATATGGAGTACCTAAGGTATGATTTCCACTGTATATTTATAAACAAGTGACTTAAGCTTGTTGCTTGCCAAATAATTCTACGTTTTTCGATAGTCTCGCTGAAGTATAATCGTGTTATATTGGTATCATGATAAATACAAAAGTTCCATGTTTCAAGGAAAATTAGAAAAGACGAATGGACAGTAACAAACGGTTATTTAAGTTAACAGTTACTAAACTACGACTAGCTTTGAAAGAAATGTCACGGTATAATCAATGAGATCCTAAGGAAAATTCTAGAGTTTAACGAACTACAGTAACTTTAAATTGTGGCTAGTAAAACTCAACAAACATTCATCATATACGAGTTCGCCATATGCAACATGTATTCATAAAAACGACGGCCCCAAGACGTAAAAACCGGTCTCATCCAAAATTTATAATGCTAGTAAGACGTAAACCAATTTGTTGAGATTCTCAAGGCTAGTACGTGAATTATGCGCTTCTTGGGTCTTTTATCTCATGCCATCAGTTCTGAGTTAGTAAAGTGACAAATAGTACCAGTCAGATCATTATGTTGACGTAAACTTTTGCAGTATAAAATATATATAACAATCAAAACACATTATTTGCTTCCCGAAAAATCAAACTACGCATGAATATATGAGGACTTCTATCTTATTCGGATAATCACTGACCAGAAAGTATTTATTTATTTATATTTATTTAAACACATAAATATTGGTACAAAGAAGCACCAGATAAATATGCGCCTCACAAATCTCATTCGATTTGTGTGAGGACTGTGATACTGCCCAGGTGCCCAAACTGAAGCAGGTGGTTTTCTTAGGGGGCCACACCCGGATCCTTTGACCGAAAGATCTGATCCACAAGGCAGTGGAGCATCGTGAGGAGATGCAGTCCCATGGTAGCCGGTGACCAACAGTTGGTTCATACGCCATTCGTTCCTTCAGGATACTGGAGCCCATGTGCACCATTGGTTTGGAATCAGGGTTTTCCAACTCCCCTAGGTGGATCCTCCACATCCACCAACCCGGTTAAAGCGCCGGACATTCGCTTTTCATCCTCTCACTTTTGTGAACAACACCCCCGCCACGAGAAGGCAGTGAGTAGGACTTCCCTGGCAGAGGCTATATATTCGCGTGGCCATATGAGAGCATTTCGAGAGGGATAGCAGACTCTCCCCACTCTCGGCCGTACCAAGGCATTTGGGGGCAACCAGAAAGTATTGGTTTCACAATAAATATTACTATACAGGTAAGAAAATACGAGATCAATTAGTTACGAGGTAAAAATTAGAGTTTCATCAACATATTCATATTCTCTATTTTAAAGATACCAGATAAAAGTGTAAATCAGAACACAGAGATCACTTTATCATCAAAAATTATTGTTACAATCATTAGACATGCATAAAAAACAAGTGTCAGCTTTAATAGCAACATGATGGTATTAAACCTTGAGAGTTCAAGTCTTCAGAAATTTAACAATTAAGGCTTTTATAAACCAGGTAGGAGCAAGAATTAGAATAAATAAGGTTCAATCAATTAAGCATAAATAATATTTGTAATGCACAGGGCGATGGGGCTGAATTCTGGAGTATACATGTATTATAAGCGTACACTGGATCAAAATATTGAAAAACTGGCGTGTATGACAAACTATCATCAAAATTAAAAATGAAAATACAAGTTTGACGAGTGAGAAGTCTCTGAAAATGCACTAACCCGCAAATGAGAAAATCCATGTGAATTTAGAAACATACAGCTAAGATGAACAGTTATGAAGCCCTTTTGCGCATTTCTTCCTCCTCGATTTCGTCCACATCATTTGCCTCAACTTCACGTCTAACACCCACCAAACTCGCTTTCAATACACATTTTGAAGCAGCATATATCATTCGCTTTCTAACATCCAGTGTAGACGGAACCCTAAACATATGAAACCATATAGCACAAATAAACGTACCATGAGACAAATATCAGGGAAGGTACTTTTCCTTCAACTTCGTAATCATAAACTGCGTAACATCCTTTACCTTCATCCATCATTTTTAATAAAATATCCTTGAAACTATGATACGTTTCCGCTACCAGTAAAGAAATTAATTAGTGATTACTTCTATCAGCTCGACAAAGCACTTTTATTTCTTTATCATCTTCGATATGGAAGATGATGTATCGATGTTTTTTATTAAGCTTCAAGTCTTCAAATGCTTCGATGCATGACCTGTGGCATTTTACTCCAGTACTCTAATACAACAAAGTACCGTTAGAATTTTGTGCGTTTTAAAACGAAAATATATATGTATTCGCAAGATAAACATAAATAAACTACAAACCATTATAAATAACGTTCAGGCTCCGTGACAACCGAAAGCGCAATGTACTTTCAAATCCGTCCGTATAATTACTCCGACGACCTTGGTTTGTTCAATACACGGCGGGCATTCGGGATTTGAACTGCTGGGTTTAATTTTGAATGTGTATGTCAGGATAGTTCCCAGATATTTTCATATCTGTACAGTATGGTGATTCACGTCGTTTAAAACTATCATCGCTATGGTTAAGGTCGGTTTTGCTTGCATTTTGTTGCGTATAACGAAAATGTTTTGTCACACTACTTATTTTAGACATATCGATAATTGTTGCGTTACGAATAGGCCAATATTGATTTCGAATAGCAATTAGTGACACTTGGAAATAATTCGGCGTTAACTTGATAAGCAATCATTAAATAAAAGAGAACACACATTTGAACTTATGAGTACGTTTCGCATTTGGGATAACATGTATCCGTGAATTTGAAGCAACTGCCTATCAACAGTCAGTTATGTGAGATATTCACGGTTCTTCTGCTTCTTCAATAATCAGATGCTTCACACATGAACATGATTGTCATCAAGATTTCATTTCGATCTCAAACATTCACTTTATTTTTTTAATCTGGCAACTTGGGGTTCACCACATTGGCGTGTTCACAGAAGACATATGTGGGTAACTTTAGATGACTGAAATGAAATCTCTGGTCATAGTTATGCTGTTATATTTAGTACTGAAGCACTAAATGAAAGGAAAAGTGCTCAAAAATGCTAGGTGCCGTACTCTTATTGTAAAGAGAGAGGACCGTTATCCCTACGTGTTATAAAAGTTTCATCAAGCAACAAGTTTTTGCCCAAACCTTTCGTAAAATCGTACAAAAGATGGTCGCATCGTGAAATCTGATGAAAATGTGGCCCAATGATAATAAGGCAACGAGTGATTGCTCACAAACATGATCAGAGGGTGTACCGTGCATGTTTACGAACTTTGTGGAAACGTTACATCATATATTTAGGTTAGTTTGCCATAACATTTGTGAATTAGTACTGGTACAAACTTTAGTATAAGACGCTAGGAACCTGGAAAGAGAATGGCACACCGGGTGTGTTTTCACCTGTAATGAGCTATTTCAAAGTACAGAAGACTGGAACATCACGCATAGTTGATTTATCTGTATACCGATAACCTACTCAATGAAAAATATTCACGTGGCAAATTTGAAAAATCGTTACGTCTAACTTTAAAATTTTTCTTCCACATATTTTCTCGTATCCAGCGATATATAAAGCTATTTGTTGGTCGATATTCGAGTGTTAGAAATGTTTCATCTTTACAAGCCATGGGTTACTGTTCATTGAGCACATGGATAAATCGCCAACAGTACAAATGCAGTTCTTAGAAACAAAGAACAAAACAAACAGGGTTGGACGAATGTTCATATATGTCTGACTAGTTGCAAACAATGCTATTGAATCTATAATAATGTAGTATATTTCAAGTACGCTTGGAATTTTAGAATTTTATTACAAATCGTAGGTGACAAATAAACCGACTCGTGAACTTCATGTAGTTCTTTAACTTCTGAAGAGCACTTATCTATAGCACATACATAATAGCATTAATGCTTGACTTGTGCGAAGTGACAAATCACTCAAGAGCAGTGTAGAAATATTGACCACCGTTGTGTTATGCTAGGCCGATGTCTATGATTCGGTCAGTAATTGGAGATATAGTTATGAGAAACGATGTAGTAGTGAAGTGCTTATTTATTAACTGCATCATTCTACACTATGTTTCGCTGACAGACGTTTGTAATTAGACTAATTGGTCAGATGACTACGTTGCCTTGTTTAAAACAGGCATGTATTGTTGTCACCACCCTCAAAAAGATATGATTTGGGAATATATTCAAACTTACGGAAATAAAGTCAAGATTTGTGGAGAGATTTGTGTCAAATGCAAACAACAGACTATCGATAAGTCGTCTTTTTGGTAGCCCGATGGAAAGTAAGATCTTTTGCCTAAATATCTCTTTTTGAAGCAAATATTTCATTTTTCGCCTTAAATCACCACATTCCGATTTTCATACAAACCTACACCAGGTAGTTTGCTTTCTGTCAGAATATCTCCTACATTTGGCATTATTTTCTTGAAGAAAATGAATTTGCGACACGGTCGATCTGAGTTGAAAAAATGATACATGCGCGAAATGTTACTTCTTACCATGAACGTTTATTACATCCACACGTTTCCTTTGCAGCTGTATATGTGAATAATCGCTGCTGTAATCTGAATAACACTAAAAATGTGCAATGTATGCTATCAGACTGACAGTAATGTAACACTGAAATTATGCCTTTGTCTGAAAATGGAAAGAATAAGAATTAGTTAAAGTTTTTAAGCATGTTTTCTTCCCTAATCAGATTGAAGAGATATTAAAATGTCAGATCTGCAAACACGTAAGGCTACCAGTCATAATTATCGTTATTTAACGTGGTGTACGAGAAGCACTTATTATACTCAACAACGATTTACCACAAAGTTGTACCGGCCTGTGTTCTATGAACAACTGGTCGTCACCAACATTCCTTCTCACGATAAGCCATATTTAGGAGTTCAGTGATTGAGTGCAATAACTTTGTTACAAGTCTTGAGATACTTCATCGTGAGGATAGATCCTCCGAATAAGTGGAGCTGTAAATCTTTGAAATTGATGGTGACCAAGCAAGTTTGAACGCACCGATCCTAGTCGAAGATGTGAAGTCAAGTATGGCATGGCTTGGCTATACAGGTTTAACCACTCTATGAAACTTATTCCCTTTCATACTATATATATTACTCTATTATTATTATTATTATTATTATTATTATTATTCACAAACACCTTATGGGTACATAAGTGCTGTGAAGAAACCATTTCAGGTTTCTTCAAAAATGCAGTAATACACAATTTTCAATAATGTTAACGTTACATTTGCCATGTTTGAGAAAGGAAGGAAAAGGAAAGTAAAATATTAATCATAGAATAGCAATAACAGTAATAATAAATCAGGTTCTGTGTAATTAGCAAGAATTTTGAATTGATTTTGAAAAAAAATTATTTAAGTGGAACATAGGGGTTTTTTGTTTTTAATTGTAGACTTTGGATAAAATATGTTTAGAAGGACAAGAAGAGATGAAATGAATATCTAATGTGTCGAAAGACCAATAAGGATATTAATAACGGTAATAATTATAAATACGAACATAAGCAAACTTTGTATATTCAGATAAATATAAAATAAAGTGAAATAGACGTGAAAAGTTTCAAAGGTTTCACTTTGCTTTTCAGTCAGTTAGATAGATGACGGACCATTTTTGTATAAATCGTTGTTAAGCACGTTAATATTCCCAGAGTTCTCCAGAAGTTCTAAACATCATGTTGTCGACTGACATGAAGGGAAGAGTCAGTACAGACAGTGATGTAACTTACACGTAAGATCGTATGAACTAGGTAATCACGTCATGGGGAGTCTACGACTTTGGTACTTGATCTGCTATTCTTGTAGGAAAGGTAAATGTGCGCCAGTAAGTTTACCTTCGTTACTATGATGATAGACCTAATCCCAAAATGGTATATTTGTCATGGTGTGACGACTTAATGTATCAGATCCTACGCGGAAGTCACATCATTGTCTATACCTACTTGTCCTATGGTGATAATCACCAATATGATGCTTAGCACTTTTGATGAGCACGTTTTGGCTGGGGATAAAATAATGTATTTGATGTGGGAAGGTATGAGTTGACCAATATGATCACTACTGCAAAGCTGAGCCATGCCATACCTACTAACTGTTCCCGTGTTCACCAATATTGGCCTTTCAGAGTGCTATGTGTTGAATGTAAATCTTTTCAGCAATTACATGCTTGGCTTCGATTGTCGTGTGGTTAGGAATCTATACTACAAATGCACTTAGTGCTGACCTAGACAATTTTACTCTTGTTATGTTGGAACATACAAGCAAACATTTAAAGATTAAGACTCTCATATCATCCTGGCCTGAAAATATCAGAAATTGGTTCTATTATCTGAAAGCTGGCTTTCACAATCACGAAGTGACAGACGCATATGTGTAGTTCCTTGTTGTACGGAAGGAACTTTCTTTTCGTTTTGGCAGGCACGTTACACCTAATACATCTTACTAATAATGTTTCAAAATCTAACGACGACTGGGAACATAAGCAAGGATAATGGAGAATATATGCCAAAAAACCTATCCAGGTCTTGAAAACCATTACTCGTTCTAACTAAACGTATTTTTATGCCTTCTTTTCATGTCTGAGTAACTTATAACTTGAGAGTATTGTATATGAGTGCAATTTTTGTGTAGAAAACTACTGGATTTGTACACACTCAAACCATCGTCCTTCTGAGTTCTGTGTCATATGACCGATAGACCATACCATGACCCTTATCTGTCAATATTGGACCTAATTCTGACATTTTCTTACAATGGACAACTACTTGAGATTCCTACGACTAGTACGACTAGCACACTTGAGGAGTGGAAAACAGCCAGGTTTCTAATTGAGTTTAGGAAATATAACCTCCTCACCATTATATGCATATTACCTACTTAATAACATCCATTACACCTCGTGAAAGAGCATAGGCCACGCACCGTGATTCTACATCAAGCTCTGTCGTGAGCGATTTTTTCCAATTGTTTCCGAGCTTCATTAAAGTTTTTGATATTTGTACCTAATTCCCAGTACCAAGCATTCTCTAGTCTCCATTGAGCTGAAATATACCAATTCCAAAAATAATGACAATGTCATTGCAAAAGAAATTTTCTGTTAATGTGTGAAACAAATTATACATGGAGAAAAATTTACTGAATGTCACTTAACTTGTCAGGGGCAGGTGTTCTCAAGTTTCTTTTGGCCTTGTAATACACAATTATAAGTATTTGGTAATTCCCGCTGTGATCCGAGATGTGTATCCAGATTAATCACGCAATGAAAATATCCGTGTAGACCG